CTATCTTCTCTGGATGCAGGTTGTCTCTTTCTCTCAAACAACACAGGTCCTGTCGTGCTTCAAATGTGTCCTTAGGCTTTCCATACACACCCATGAAGCCTAGCAGGTTCACACAAAGATTCTTCATCAAGTGCATCACGTCGATCGAGCTGTGGACCTCTAGGACTTGCCAATAGGGTAGCTCCCAAAATATGGACTTCTTCTTCCACATGGGTGCGTGACTGTTAGCGTCGTTCGGAATAGGTTGGCTGCCATGTCCTTTTCCAAAGACGACTTTCACATCATTGACCATATCGAGTACATCCTCACCGGTTCGGTTGCGAGGCTTGGTCAGGTGGTCTGCCTTATCTTTAAAATGCTTGCCTTTCTTTCTTACGGGGTGATTTGCAGGAAGAAATCGACGATGGCCAAGGTACACGACCTTTCGACATTTTTTCAAGAATACACCTCTAATATCACCGAAGCAGTGTGTGCATGCATTATATCCCTTGTTTGACTGTCCTGAAAGATTACTTAGAGCAGGCCAATCATTGATTGTTACGAACAACAATGCTCACAGATCAAAGTGTTCCTGTTTGTACTCATCCCACACATGTACACCTTCTTTATTCCACAAAATGAGAAGTTCGTCAATAAGTGGTCTCGGGTACACATCGATGTCATTGCCAGGTTGCTTCGGCCCTTGGATGAGCACAGGCATCATAATGAACTTCCGCTACATGCATAACCAAGGAGGAAGGTTGTAGATACTTAGAGTAACAGGCAAAGTGCTATGACTACTGTTCTGCTCTCCAAAAGAATTGATACCATCTGTACTTAAGGCAAACCTTAAGTTTCTTGCGTCATTTGCAAACTCCGGGAATTCTCTGTCGATTGCTCTCCACTGGGACCCGTCAGCAGGGTGTCTCAACATATTGTGTACCTTACGGTCTTCTTTGTGCCATCGCAACAATTTTGCATGTTCTTTGTTTCTGAATAGACGTTTCAAGCGTGGTATTATAGGAGCATACCACATAACCTTGGCATGGATTTTCTTGCATGGGCGTTCGCCCTCAACATCACCAGGGTCATCTCGCCTGATCTTATACTGCGATGCATGGCATACCGGGCATGCATCCAATTTCTCGTACTCTTTGCCACGGTAGAGGATGCAGTCATTAGGACATGCATGTATCTTCTCGATTTCTAGCCCCATAGGACAGACAACTTGTTATGCTTTGTAGGTAGTGGCAGGCAATTCATTGTCCTTCGGAAGCATCTTCTTTTGGATTTTTAGTAACTCTCCAAATCCTTTGTCAGATACACCATTCTTTGCCTTCCATTGCAGCAATTCTAGTATGGTTCCCAACTTTTTCTGCCCTGCATCACAAGTTGGGTACAACAATTTCTTGTGATCCTCAAGCATCCGCTCAAACTTGATCTTCTCCTTTTCACTTTCACATTCTCTTTGTGCGTCACGAATGACCTGACAAAGATCATCAGCAGACTCATCTTCTACGGCTACCTCTTCTTCAGCTTCTCCTATTGCAGTATCACTGAAGCACGCACCATCGGGAATAATATCATTGTCGTCCCATTGTTCTTCTTCACCTTCTTCCATTACAACGCCGGTTTCTCCGTGCTTCGTCCAACAAATATAGTTTGGCATGAAACCCGACTTTAACAAGTGTGAATGAAGAGTCCTTGAGCAAGGATATTCCACCGTATTCTTACATACGGCACATGGGCAGCACATGAAACCATCGTGTTTGTTTGCCTCGGCCGCACGTAACAAAGAATGCACGCCGTCCATGAACTCTTGAGAGCGACGATCAGCATTGTACATCCAATGCCGACTTATCTGCATTACATGACATAAATACCGTATTAAAACCTAGAACATAATTAGTTAATTATACAACATGCATACCACCACAAAAGCTATAAATTTAAGAAATCCTCGCTACAATGTAGACAATCCCAACTACCACTAAAAACACTAAAGCTAAAATGCACTTCAGCAGCACAAGGATTTCGCGACCAATCCCAACTAAAATAGACAGATCCCCCGTTTGTTCAACATCTTTGGGCTTCTTCGGCTGGATCACTGCCTCATTAGCCGCCATATCTGCCTGTTGTGCAAGATATTTTTATACGAGTTCAACATACTCTTCCTCCCAGTAGAAGCCTGAACATCCAATGTCATCCCACTGAAATTAAAACAGAAAATTAGAACTTTAATCACAACCATCATGAAAATAGGTATAAACTAACCATAGTCATTAAATACGATAAAATAACTCACATTGCGATCGGGACACTTGTAGAAAATGCGACCCTTGTTGAGACCCTCCTTCTTCACTCGGTACTCTATCACAATCTTCGTCTCATCACAACACTTGTCGCATGCAATGAGTGGGAGGCCCAGCCTAAGTCGCTTTGGAAACCCATGAGAGGCCGAGGACCCAGAAGCAGTTGCCATCTACTCTCTATACTCATTTTTTAATACACTATAAATTTCTCATTTTATAAACAAATAAAATTAAAAAAAACTCTAAAATTCTCTATATCTCTAAACAATGAAGTGTGCTATGCATGCTACAAATGAACGGTGAATACTAGTTTTTAATAGCTACTTTAACCTTCCTTCATGTAAATATGCAAGCTTGAAGTTTAAAGGTTTCCAGAGCGTTTAACACTACTCTGCTTGCCGAGAAAGTTGCTAGTGTTGTGTCGTTGGCATTTTTCATGGCCGTGACCATGGTCATTGTGTTCTCGTCTTTTACTGCGGCAGGTAAGTAATTCACATGATATTTCCGCAAATTAACAGAAGAATAGGAGTGTACACACATAACAATCAATTATCGTTTATATTTATATATATACTACGTTTGGGTACGGTAATTGACAGACTACTGCGACGATATCGGGATGTGTGAATAAATAACCATCCGTACTAGTTGACCTTGCTTACGTGATCATCTCGGCGAGCATTTCTCCACCGGACGGCACCGTACTTGGCCACGGAAGAGCTCCGATTCTACGAGGAAGGGAACACGGTCTTCCACGACCGTTGCCGCTCTCCCTCGTAGAATCAAAGCTCCTCCTTGACATCCGTTACCGCTCGGCAGAGAACATGCTCGCCGAGATGAACATGGTCCGCAAGTTCAACTAGCTACTTTAACATTCGTTCATGTAAATATGCAAGCTTGAAGTGATTTTGAGCTCAAATTGCTTACAAATGAAAAAAACCACAATAAAGAACCATATATATATAGTGAACAAAATGAGATAAGACAATGGTGAAAAATGAGAGTATGAGATTGGTAACCTTTACAACTGAAGAATCAACGGAGGAATCGAAGAATGGATGGAGGAACAATGGAGGAAGGAAGCAAGAACACTAGTACAGTGAGCTTCAAAATGTGCTGAGCTCAGGATCGGGGAGGAAGAAGGAGACGGCCGAGATATAAAGGGGGGACCTTTAGTCCCGGTTGGTGGATCCAACCGGAACTAAAGGTCCCTGTCCAACGGCTACTGCGCTAGACAGAGGTGGCAGGGACCTTTACCCCCGGTTGGAGCCACCAACCGGGAGTAAAAGTCTACCTTTAGTCCCGGTTGGTGGCTCCAACCGGGACTAAAGGTCCCTACCACCTCTGTCTGGCACAGTAGCCGTTGGGCAGGGACCTTTAGTCCCGGTTGGAGCCACCAACCAGGACTAAAGGTATCTCTAGTCCCGGGCGCAAAAAATTCCGGGACTAGAACCTATTTTAGTCGAGGATCAAAGGTATATTCTCTACTAGTGCAAGGTTTACTAAATCTTAGTGATGGCGCTAAGAAATACCAACAAGTATTTCTAGCGCTATTGCCGAGATGGATTCTATCTCTATACTTGGTGATTGCGCTAAGAAATACCAACAGTGACTAGATACATACGTGGGCCTCACGTCGAAAGTTGGATGCTAAAATTAAAAATCTAGCGTTTACACCTTTAAATTTTAAGCCAAATCGACTGAAATTTTTGTAGATGACTTAATATGATTGCTCGCTATTTTATGTAGACTGGTGTGACTAGATGTATATATAACCCCATGTCAAAAGTCAGACCCTAAAACAAAAACCTCACATTCACAAATTAAATTTTAGCTAAATTTACTGAAAATTTTGGAGATGACTTAATATGATTGCTCGCTACATTGTGCAGATCGGTGTGACTAGATATATACACGAGCCCCACAATATAAACATAAAAGTATACACTAAAAATTCATGTACCTCTCCTGTGGTTTAGCCGACGTAAATCCAATGAACACTGAACTTTTTGAGCTAATGTGCAAAGATTTTGGAGTTTTTTTGAATCAAATGACTATGGGCATTCAAATCCAAATATATCCCATCAAGTGCATCCAAAGTAACTACAGTCCAATTGGACTTTGGATTATCCATTTTGTGTTGGATTATCCATTTTGTGTCACTATGTATCTGTGTCCATTTTGTGGCAGTGTCTAATTCCATTCCATATATTTATTTGACTTTACTTTATCTTTGCTTCCTCTTGTAAGGTCCTGTTTGGATCACATGCCAATTGTTATAATCTAGATTATGTATCAAATTATTATAATCTAGATTACGATTATAAAACTCTGGAGTGATTGGATCTCTGTATTATCTATGGTGGTTATTAATGGTTAAAGTGACAATACCTATTCAACACTTTAGTATTGCTCATTATTGCCTTACAAGATTACTGTAATCTGCTAGTGTTTTGATTATAATAAACTATTCTCAAATATAGCCTTTTTAGATCATAATTAGATAGTTTTAGCTGATTATTATAATCCTAATAGGATCAAACGTGCCTTAAGTAGTGATTTGGGAATTAATATATAACTAAAATATAACAAATTGCTATAAAAGATAATTAAAATATGCCAAGTAATGATGTGGTTCCAACTTCCAACGCTTTATAAATATATTGGCGGGCCATCCTTTTCTTAGTACTCAAATGCACACCATTTTCCATGGCTTCTCCTCTGCTCCTGTCCATTTTGTTGTGCTTCAACCTTTCCACTGTTCATGGAGCTGGTAACGGCAGCTTTGTGACGGTGCCATCCAGCTCTTTTGAGCCAGAGACAGTTTGCTCTGGAGCGATAGGTACAGGACCTGCATATCATATCTGGTTTATTTCCTTCCTTTAAACGCTTCAAACAAAACCTTATGATTAATTTCTGCACATATATGTTTCAGTGAAGCCGGAGCAGAACGGCTCCACCGTGTACGTTCCGCTAGTACACCGCCACGGTCCGTGTGCGCCGTCCCTATCAACAAACACGCCGTCCTTCGCTGTGATGTTCCGCAGAAGCCATGCTCGCCTGAACTACATCGTCAGCGGAGCAACGAGGGGCATGGAGACATACGGAGACGGGAAAAAGGTGAGCGTCCCAGCCCACCTAGGCACCTCCGTGAACTCGCTAGAGTACGTTGCCAAGGTGAGCTTTGGCACGCCGGCACTGCCACAGATCGTTGTCATCGACACCGGCAGCGACCTGTCATGGTTGCAGTGCAAGCCGTGCAGCTCCGGCCAGTGCTCCCCGCAGAAGGACCCCTTGTTTGACCCGAGCCACTCGTCGACGTATAGTGCTGTCCCCTGCCTCTCCGACGAGTGCAAGAAACTCACCGCCGATGCGTACGGCAGCGGCTGTACGAATGGCAAACCGTGCGGGTTTGCCATCTCGTATGCAGACGTAACAAGCACGGTGGGCACGTACAGCAAGAACAAGCTGACGCTGGCGCCTGGTACCATCGTCAAGAATTTTTACTTTGGTTGTGGCCATAGCAAGAGCTCGGTGCGGCACTTGTTCGACGGCCTCCTTGGGCTCGGCCGCTTGTCGGAGTCGCTCGGCGCACAGTACGGTGGTGGCGGCTTCTCGTACTGCCTCCCTGCGGTGAACAGCAAGCCTGGGTTTCTTGCCCTTGGTGCAAGGAGGAATCCATCTGGCTTCGTCTTCACGCCGATGGGCAGGGTCCCCGGACAGCCAACGTTTTCCACGGTGACGCTCTCCGGGATCACAGTCGGCGGCAAAAAGCTTGACCTCCGGCCGTCGGCGTTCAGCGGGGGCATGATCGTAGACTCCGGTACCGTCGTCACTGGCCTCCAGTCGACGGCGTACCGGGCACTGCGGTCAGCATTCAGAAAGGCCATGGAAGCATACCGGCTGGTTCCACACGGTGACCTTGACACCTGCTACAACTTGACAGGTTATAAGAATGTCGTTGTGCCCAAGATTGCCATGACGTTCAGTGGTGGAGCCACTATCAACCTGGATGTTCCCAACGGAATTCTGGTGAATGGCTGCCTCGCATTTGCGGAGTCTGGGCAGGATGGTAGCACCGGAGTCCTCGGCAACGTGAATCAACGAACCTTCGAGGTGTTATTCAACACCAGTGCTAGTAAATTTGGCTTCCGGGCTAAGGCCTGCTGATTTACACAAACTTGAATAATAACATGATAATCAAAGGCAAGTATTTTTTTTTTTTGTTTGCAGATCGATAATCCTTATGAGAATACACAGATTGATAATATTGAGACCCATATTATCATATTTTCCTTTGACTATGGAAATGCCTTCATAAAAGTAAAAAAGAAAACAAGGATGGCAATATAAAGTTATATAGTTCAAATGTGTTTAGACCTGCTGCATACAATTTGGGTATGTGAGTATGTATCAGCATACATTTATTTATACTAAGATACAGAGGCATTGGCCATTGATAGTTGTTCTATTATTTTTTTTCCTGTTTCTTTTTTTTCGTGGCAAGATCTTTCTCAAAGGCCCGGTTTCTCTCTTTATCCAAGATGGCAATGCTGTTGTCAAAAAAAAAAAAGATGGGCAATGCCTTTTGTCTATTGAGATTGAGAAACTCGATCTACCCATTCCTCTAATTTTCACCATAAGCTTCTTTATTTTGGTATATGTATATAGCTCTTTTTTACCCAATTCTTTATTAAAGGTGATAAATAAAAAAAATATCCTTATCTACAAATGCTTCTTGAAGTATGTAGTGTAATGAATACATGGAGACCATTTCTTCGTTCCCTTTTGGAACTGCCCTAATACCATTACACTTATATATGGAAGGGATAATTTTGTTGTTCCACAATATAAGTGTATATCCATTTTGAGAGTCAGTTCTACCGCTTGCCCCTTCAACTTGCTCTGACTTAATAGAGTACTTAAAATGGCACTCCATCCGTCCCAAAAAAGTGATGTTTTAGGATTTTTCAGACAGATTAGTAGAGTAGAGAAATATTCCTAATATCCATGGTTTGTTGGACTTATTCCCTTAAAAAAGGATGTTCCGTGCTTTACTTTCCTAATAAACATGTGCCGCATGGAAGCATGCAGACTTCCTATGAGCCAAAAGCGTGTCTAAAGCTCTTAACATCATTTTTTTGGACATATTTCAAATCACAGAACATTACTTTTTTGAGACGGAGGGAGTATTTGTTAAATTACCATGTACTTTAGGACAGTAGCAATTAACATATATCCCTCAGTCCTGAAATACAGTGCATTCTGACATTTGAAATTTATCCTTAAATATAGTGCATTCGGGAAACAAGAAGATAATGTTTACTTAAATAAAAGTACATGATTATTTTGTACAAGGAAAGTAATTCATGTACTTGCCATATTTTGTATAAGGACACTAAGAATTCACCCTTTAATCATGGGAATAGAATAAGATTTCAATAGATTAGAAAGTTAAGTATGCGTTTATTGCACTCTCTCTTAGTTTGTCTGTGAATGGTTAAAGTGCACTATACATCAGGACAGAGAGAGTGACATTTGATAGAGGTGGTTGGCTCACCCACCTGTGTAAATAAAAATATCCGCCTCTCAAAATGCTTATTATAGTAGTGTAATAAATACATAAAAAATGTTATTTGTTCCCCATTGGTACTGCCCTAATACAATTTTTCATATGGGAGGGGTAATTTAATAGTTCCACAATGTAAGTGTATCAATTTCGAGTGAGTAATTAATACCGCTTGTCTCATAAGCTAGCTCTAAATTATTAGAGTAGTTAAAATATATATGTGTTGGCATTTCATAGCGCAATCATCAAGTATGGAGATAGAATCCATCTCCGGCAACGACGCTAGAAATGCCTGTTGGTATTTCTTAGCACCATTACTAAGATTTGGATAAATTTTAGTAGAGCCGCCAAGGAACACTAACACGATAGTTCTTAATGATTATAGAAAATATCCGCAAGCACACGGATCTATCATTGTAGCATTTCACCCGGAAGTATTCAGGATATCGTTATTTATATTTTTCCAAATAAAGGCATGGTGTAAAGATTCTAGTATAGATATCAACAAGATAACATGCTTCAAAAGTGAACCAAGGTTTATGACAGGGGTAAACATGGTATATTCAGGATAGTGGACGCACACTTGGGCCAACCTCAAGGATAAAAGAGAAACAAAGAATAAAAAATGTTTCTAAGTGGAGCAGGCTTGTTCTAATATAGCTATGCAAAAAATAGTTGATAATCATACAAATTACATAGTTAGAGCTAGACCTAAGTATAAGATGGGCGGGGAGACCTTCGGGCACCGGTCTGCTAGCATACGGGAGGCTTTATGAACTCCTATATGAATACCCGAACGTGGAGGATTACAAGGAACAAATAGGGCTGTTATCACATGCCGCCTACCCCTCAACCGTGGAGCACCGTCATATCCGAAGGTTACTGTACACCCAGGCACCACGCCCATGCACAGAAACTACCTATATCCCCCTGTGACTCTGACCCTACGGATCGACAAGCATAGGAGATGGGCAAACCTGAAGGAATGACGAACCGCCACCTCAACTTAGTTCTAATTCTAATCAAATAAGTTATATAAATGATTAAGCATAAAGTTCTACATGTTAAGTTCATAACATAGGAACTATATGCTACTTCATATGTTATGATCATAACATGAAAACTATACTCTAGTTCATAAGCATAACTATATTGATAAAATGAGAGCAAGACTATGGAAGAATTCTTCATATTATTCATACCAAGATTCATTTTTCCAAGGAGCCAGGCTCTCCAAGGTAGCTCTTGCTAGCTCCAAAATACAACTAAAGTAAAATGAGTACAAGAGTGGTGTGAGGTGTAGAGGCTCCAAATGAGGTGTGTGTTGAAAGATGAGCACTACCCCTCTTTTTATACTAGCTAGAGGTCGGTTTGGCGGGAGAAAATAAGAAAACTAGCCTAAACTGACTCTAGGTGCATTGATGGCACCGCATGAAGAAGCTGGGCCCAGGCCATGCTGCCTAGGGTGCGGGCGCACCCAAGGTGCGGCCACACCCTGGCTGGATCGCTTGTCCACCGCCTTTGCGAGGTGGGCTGGTGGCTAGGCCTGGGCTCCATCTACGGTGGTTTGGCGCCCAGGTTTGCTATGTAGGTGGGCCTTCTTCCTTTATTTCATTGCGTATTTCTGCTTTACGCTTTCTGAGTTGCGCCTTTTGATCCTACTCCCCACGTACGTATTTCATGTATATATCCTGCAAAACACTAAGTTTCCAATACATGTGGAAATATGTCAATAGTAAATGCATATGTGTCATAAGTTTGTTTATTTCTCCTGTTTTGAGTCTTAATTAGCAGTCAGATTTGGTTGTTAAGGACCATCAACAAGATCCCCCAAGCTTAACCTTTGCTCGTCCCGAGCAAATAGCTAAGTCATTGGTTGTTGATCAGGAGTTGCTATTATGCCGAATATAATTCATAAGTGCCATGCCTATAACAAAGTATTCTTCTGTAATTTAAATAAGTTGGTATTTTTATCCACCCTTTACCTTGATCCCTATGAGGCTTATTGCTTCTCCAAGTTCTTGGGCGGTTACCAGTCATTCATTCCTTGATCAACCTTCTATCCGGAGGTTTTATGAGTTTTGCAAAGAAATGTAAGTTCCTCAAATGATTCACTCGATCGCTCAATGTGTTTAAAACCTCACCAAGGCATTTTGATGTTTTGTCTTCTTTTTCGTCCTCGGTGGAGTTTTGGGTAGGTATGAAAATAAGACATACTTGCATCACATATTTTGTTAAGTCAAAAACCGAATCCAAGGAGATGCAAGTCATACACTTTGATCAAGACGTGCAAGTGTGTGAAATTTTTATATCTTCCTAATTCTAAAATATTCTTGTACTCATTTAATCATGACTCTCTCTCTTTTGGAGGAATGCCTTTTATTTGAAAGTATAGGCTATCTTTATTTCTTTTTTTTCTTTTCTCTTCTTTTCTTCATGCTCTTTAGCATGGATATTTTATTTTTCTTTCACTTTTCTTTTTTTAGCATAGCCTACACTTTCTTTTTGGCACATGAAAACTTTTAGAGAGAGAGACTCATGAAAAGTGGATGGAGTATTTATTTTGGTGGGCAAAAAAACATGTTTTTGCGTAATTCTCAATGAAAGAGTCAGCATTTTATTTGTGGGTGTACGTGAATCTTGATCATGGCTGCATAACTAGAATCTCAACAAGGGTCACAAACAATTTGACAAAGCTTAATGCAAAAATAAGTAGCATAAGACTAAGGTTTTGTATTTGAATTTTGTCATATGGCCTTGGTAGATATTCATAATCATTGAGGAACTTTTTATTTTAGCATTTTTAAAATTGAAAACTCCGTATGTCAAGTTTCTCTTAGAACAAAATCATAGCAAATTTTATTTGTACCGTATCATAACTCGCAACAACTTAGAAAAGAAGCATGCTTTTGCCCCCCATAAGTTTTTAATTTTTTAGGATGAGATATTTTTAGCCAACAAATTTAAATCTTAAGAAATACTAAGTTACAGCCTAGGCACACATGAATTATAGACAGAGCAACTATTCATCATTTCAACTTAGGAGAAATTAAACATTCTTAAAACACACATAAAGAGTGAAATTCGTATTTTTTTGTTTTTATCATATTTTATTTTATTTTTGGTATTTTTAATTTTTAGGTTGTGTAGATGCTAATAATTAAATAAATACGAAAAATAAATGATATAAGATACCTCTACGGGGCTCTCCCCCAAGCTAGCTCCAGGCTTATGGTCCGACATGTTGCTTGGTGATGACTCCGAGGTAGGTTATATATTTTTATGTGGTTTTACTGATAGGTTTATACCTTTGTTTATTCCACCCATGTCTATACTCAGTAGTTTTGGTACAATGGTCAAACTAAATATTTGATTAAGGTAGGCTAATTAACCTAAGCACCATGCTTAATTTAAGAAGCCTATGAACATATGATCGATCACTAACCATACTTCAAACCAAAAACATGCTTGTATAAATCATCAAAAGTGACCTAGAAACTCAACAACTATTATATATATAAATATTTTTTATTTTTTATTTTTTTAGAATGTAAACTATAGTTTTATTGTTTGAGAATTTTAGCGACTTTTATTTAGCAAA